GCTCTTCTCTCTGGTTCCCCAATATTAAAAAAACTTTCGAAAAAGAGCTATTGCAAAGTTTTCGTTTGCTATTAAAAGTGATGACCACGGGAGCTTGAAGTAGCTTTGTGGAGGTGTCCGTACTCCCCCTCAGAGGTTTCCAAAATTTCGAAAAAGTTCCCGTGACTGACCGTGGCCAAGCTTCAGTCACGGTCACGATCTTTGAAAAAAGTCACGCACAGTCACGGCCGTGACCGTGACTTCCGTGAGTCACGGCGGTCACGCCGGTCGCTAAAGGAGACACATCTTCTGACGGAAAAATCATATTTCTAAGTGATTTTGTTGCTGAGAAAATTTGGAGACACAGCGGACAAAACGTCATCGCGTCACACTTGGACAAGCCGATATATATATAAAGACACATAACAATACATTGGTACCAATTAAAAATAAAATAACAACTGTATATTATTTGTATCGTAATAATTCTATATATTGAAGTCCTATATTTGAGATTTGCATATAAATGAACATGTTTTGTCTCATATGATATCAATTCTAGGTTAGAAAGAACTAATCAATACTCTAAAAGATGATTGAGGGCAGCATTTTTATTTCAATATATAGCAAAATTGGATTTTGTTACTGACCTTTTTTTTTAATTTTTATACATTGTTTTTCCAGTAGACATGTAATAAATTTCAGTAAAAACAATGGAAAGACGAACAAGATATAAGATAAAGCTATCTTAAATGATAATAAACAAATTCAAAAATCAAATAAAGATTTCTCAAATAATATTACCAATAGAGAAACGGAAAAAAAATTACGATAAGTGTAAACACAATAAAGTCTTTTGTCTATATCTATTTTGTAAATCAAACCGATGTCAATATATCATAAGAAAAATAGTAACTTAATGTACTAAAATAACTTGAAGATATAAGTAAATCAAGAAAAATATCTATTCTTTTTGACATATAGTTTAAAGAATAAAAATTAATGTTTCTTTTTTTTCATCTTGTCATAATTGTATTTGAATTGTTCTTCTTAAATTCTTCAACAACTCGAATAGGAACATCTATTTTTCTTGATTTTTCTTTAGTACGTCAAATATGAAAAGTAGTTACTGATTGCTCGTCAGAAATGTGTATCAAATGTTTTGTCATCTGGATGAGAAAAATTGATATATTCTATCTACTAATAAAAATATCGTTGAATTAGAAAAGGACAAAAAGTTAAACTTACTAATAATTACATTAACGATTGATTTGTTAATCTATCGATAGTCAAAGCTCGACTTTAGATTTGGACAGATATATCATCTCTAGTATACGAATAAAAAATTTCGGATCGGTTCATTGATTTCTTTAGCTTTTATTAACGATACAATCACAATACGCTGTTTTTCATTCTTCCAAAAGTATCCAATCATATTTTCTTTACAAAACTGTTTTGCGTCTACTTTGAGTTGAAATTTTCCTTATAGTAGATGATTCAGTAGCACAACTTGCGTTCTACAATAATTTCAATAATGCTTAGCTAATATTATTGTTCAACATATTATATTAGCAAGAGTAGAAGAAGCAGTATTATATAGCATATTTGAATGAAAATTTCATTTTGGAAAGTTGTTTTTGTCGTTTCCTATGTATATACCGATTACAAAAAGATGTTCCTGTACTGTCTGATTCATGCATTAAAGAAGGTACGAGTTGTTTTAACAGCATGGATCTGTAAGGAATATGTTTTCGTAGAAAATTCTTAAATTTAAATTTAAAATAGATTATATCACTTAAGTTACATACCTTTGTTACACCGCGAATATCAGAAATAAAAAGCTTACCATAGTTCCTTAATAAACAGGAAATGAAATTTAGAACATCGCATTATGTTAAATTTTATTTGATACATTTTTTTCTAATGAGATACATATCCACTGTGTTGCTGAAACTCGAATAAGCTTCTTTTTCTTTTACTTCTGCTATTCATAACGTAATAAAGATATAGAACTGAAAGGATATGAACAGTTTTGATTTCAAATAGTTATGTATTTGGTACGCAAAATGAGTCCATACAAAATTTCCATAGGTAAAACAATTTTTATCTTCTTCGATGCTTAAATAAAACTATATAAGATCGTCTATCTGAATATTTTCTGACTCTCCGTTCTCAAGATCATTGCAACAGAAAATGATAAGTTTCGATGTGTATGTTTGGTAAGTAAAAAAGAAAAAGCAACTCACAAATGACTATCTAAATGCAGTACGAAGAGAGTTTCAATCTTTAGCGATTGAATTTGAATTAACATAACTGCAGTAAACGATTTTACCTGAAGTCGATTGTGTTCTGTCCAAGTTTTTCATTATTTCTGCTTTTCACAACAGTTGACTACAGACTAGCTCACCACTTTTTATTACTTCGGATAAAAGATGGAGGCAAGATCATCATTTTTCAGAATTCACTAAAGATGAACGAAAACTCGTATTGAAGATTCAAAAATGTTTGTATCATCTCGAGATATTCATGTTCCTGATATAGTTTGAGCGAATTTATAGCTATTTGTCGTTCTTTAGAACATCATGACACACAGTTAGTGATCTTGTTACAGTAAAGATAGCACGCAGAGTATGGAGATCGAATGCGTATGCAGCTGACTACAGAAACGCTGTGCTTCGCACCACATTAATGAAGGTATTTCGGATAATTTGCATACTTGTGCGAGGGGAAACATTAAAGAAATCAGTCCTCAAGTCGTATGAAGTCCTCTGAAACCGTGCGAAATCTTTTGAAATCCTATGAAGTATGTTGAAGTGACCTGAAGGCGTATGAAATCTTTGAAATTTCTTGAAGTCCAATGAAGCTCATTTAAGTTTCGTGAACTCTTTTGAAGATTCTTGAAAAGTTAAAATCTCTGTGCTTGAAGTCTTGACGTTTACTGTTACTTTTTCACTTCAAATTTTTGAGAAAGTTTAAAAGCCTTCTTAAGATTTCATGCGGTTTTACGAGACTTGGACAAACTTCACAGAGTTTCAAGCGACTCCATAGAACTCGAAAAGACTTTATGGGCCTTCAAGACTAAAGTTGCTGCTTGTTCCTCCTCTATATCATCTATACGACTGCAAAATTGATTTACAAGGAAACAAGCAATTCTCTTTTAACCTCTTTATATTGTTATGAAAAATACATTTCAATCATGCGTCATGAACGTGATCTCACATAAAAGTACGAGAAGCTCATTTACTGAGCTTCTTTCTTTCGAAAGTTTATGGTAGACGTTTTCTATTTGATTATTATATTCATTTTTATTAAGCTACAATTTACTTCACAATTTTTTTCTCTTTAATTAACTTATTTTTGAGTACATTATGTGAATTCAATTTTTCATAAAGTTTTTGTCTTCGTAAATAAATTTGATTTAAATATCGATGTAAAGTTTCTTTTTCAAAGAAGATTTTTTTTAAATTTATAAGTTCATTAGTTTTATGAACAATTTTCTTTTTTATTAAAAATAACTTTGATACATTATTGAATTTATCAGGTGAACTCATCATAAATATATGCCAATAATACATATGATTAGAATTTTTTTTCATTTCTAATATAAGTTGATTTTGAAAATTAGTGCATTGATTTGAAATACTTTGTGAATTAAGATATTCATTATTTTCTAGAGATTTAAATGAAATTGATTGATGTAAATGTTGATTATATGATTGTAAATGACAATCATATTTCTGTAAAATATTAATATCTGATTTTGTTTGTTCAAGCATCTTCACTAAAAAACAAGCAACAGATTTTGAATAAAGAATATGACTACAATGACGAAGCAAGGATATACGATTCAGTCCTTCTCTCATATAAAGCTTTGAATTCTCTCTCATGCTTTAATAAATACATCTTATTGTATGAAAATTACATGTTTTTCGAAGAAATAAAAACACATTGAAAATAAGTTTCAGTCAAGTTTTAGAATTTTTGAATGACATATCTGGGCTATCCTCTTTATGTTCGAATAATAGTTCTTTTCTAGTTTTTGAAAAACTCACGCCAATTATTTTACTATTCAAAGGGAATTCTGATACATTGCAAAAAGAATTAAATATATTAGAATCAATATAAAAAAAATCGTACAATGAATTAATGCTGTATAAACTGGCTTTTCTCAATGTTGTTTCAATAGTTCAAGATGCAATGACAATATCTGTTACTTCAGTAACCTGTCAAAGATCAGTTTCAACGATGAAAATAATTCAAATAATTCTCACAAATATGATGGATGATAAACATCTAAGCGTTTTGCATAAATTATCTGTATAACGAAATGTGAACTTAGATTTTATTGAAACTTTCTCTGTTAATTATTGGAATACTCAGATTAGGAATGTAATAGTGGCAATGATAACCTGTTCCACTTTAGATTACAGAGATGTCCTTTGCAATCGGAAATCTGCCGCTGCCGCAACATCACTACAGTCTAAACATACCGCGTCGCTGTCACCCCACGGTGGTTCAAAAAAAACGTGCCGCTATCAACATCTGTGATATATTGGTATACTGGTCTTAGGTAGAGTGCTGCAATGGTTTAGAGATACACATATAAAGCAAAGGTGAAGATGATGAACGCATAGTAAAAGTACGGTGATTTTAGATTCATTTCGACTTTTTCAGCCAGAATAGGTTTATTTCAGAAAAATAGCTGGATTTTATAAAAACATAACTAAACCATGGAAACTAAACCTTCCTCAGACGAGAAAATTGAACTCGAGAATTTCGACAAAACCCCAATTAATTCGGATTCCTGAAAACCTTTCGTACGTTTTTATAAAATTCAACTATTTTTGTTGAAATGACCTCCTCGATCAAAAGAATCGACATCAATTGGAGCCCATCGTAAATTTTATCATTTGTTCACAGTCTTCACCATTGATCTATACCTAACGTTTAGACCGGTGCTATCAATGCTACAATGCACTGGTGAACACTACACCATTATCGTTACAACTGGAATTCTGATCATATTGAAACAGTGAATTAGAACATTATTTTTGTTAGGAGTTATCGATGAAGGATATACAAGAGATAACCATATTTTTGGACCTTTCCCCTTCTCCTCGATGCTCGGCTTTGACTGATCCGCCCCTAGACACTCAGTTTCCAAATTTTTTTTTAGAAAGAATCTGTTTGTTCTAATATACTGTGTTTTTTTTGTATTCAATAACTGTTATGCGTAATCTATAACATAGAATTCTGAGAACTTGTTCTTCTCGAAATGCTGCTCAAAACTAATTTAATTTGAAAGTTTTAAGAAAAATGCATTAAAAAGTTGTTATTGCAATCCTTGTGCGATTGAAATATGAAACATATGATGTAGTTGTTGTTGCTAATCACTGGAAGATTGTTTCATTCTATTTGTTTTGGCACATATGTCTCCACCATCCTTTTACTTAATATTCAAGAAATCCAATAAGGAAGTAATTCATATTTTATAGAGAAACGTTATTGATATACGGTCTCTAAATAGACGGGAAATGCATTGATATAGTACCTGTGACGTCTCTATGGTAATATCTGTCTTGATTTGTAGAAAAACCATGCAAATTTTTATCGTATGTACCTCAACACTCCTTTTAGATCGTAATCCACAAAAACGACAAAAAAATCATAAAAAGTATTCGGACATCAAAATACATCTACTCCTTCTCTACTCTTTTCAGGTTTGACTGCTCCTCTTTCGCATCCCTTTTTCTGAATATCCGTGATGGATATCTGTTTATTCTGTTTCTTGTTTTTATTTCCATGAAAAATAAATATTCATAAAAGAGCATTATCTTTTTTGGTTTGTTTTATTCGTTAGCTCAGTCTAAAACTGTAGGAAAGAAGAATCATAAAAAACGTGGTTCTACATTGAATTAACGATAAAAAGTTTCTTTACGCGTTCAGATAGATCAGAAAAGTTTTGAAAACTTAGTCTGTCTAGGCGAAAATCTTAACTTTACCACTTTTACATTGGAAAATATAAACTCTTTTAAAATAATAAAAGTAAGATATAAAGATTTAAACAAGTTTTTGAGGTAATTTAGTAATGAAATCAAATTCAAAATGTTGAGCTTTTCTTCACACTTTAAGGAAAATCATGAAATGAGTCTAAAACATAGAAATTTTTTAATATGTCTACTAAGAATACTCTTTCAACTAGAGAAAGCATAGTTTGATTATCTTTCAGACTATACCTTGTTTAAGATGCTGTGTAGTAAGACGTTTTATTGTTTTATACAATGGTTCTAATTCATTATTAAGCATTGTTTGTCTATGTCCAAGTAATTGTACTATAAAAGTTAAATCTGCATATTGTTGTTTCAATAATTTATTTTCATTTTCAGTACAATGAAATATTTCTTTCAAAGTCTGATAATTATATTCCAAATGATTTAAATCTTTATTCAATATCTTGATATTTTCTTTTGACTGTACTGTTTGATGATAACATTGTTCTAATGAAAAATTTTCTTGTTTAAGAATACGATCATTTTGTTTCGAATCTAACGTTAATTTTGCAATGATTGTTTTATATTGATTAATTTTAGTTTCATTTTGTTTTAAAATAAGTTCTACTTGATGATGATTGATTTCATTTTGTCTGACTTGTTTTTGATTATATGATATTTCTTTTGACAATGGTTTTTCATCACCACTTAGTTTATGTATTTTTTGTTTAAGTAATTTGACTTTAGTTTTGCTTTCATTAACTATTGTACGTTGATCATTCAGTTGTTCATGTGTTGTTAATAAACAATTTTCAAGATCTTGTAATTCTTTTGTATGAAAATCAAATTGAATTTCATTATAATTTATTAGATGATTTTGTTGTTGCACTTGTTCACTGAGTGCGTTTATCTCAATTTTCGTTACTTGTAATCGTTGTTCATTTGCTTGAACTATAGAAACAGACAGAATTATCCATTTAAATGACTTAGGCGGGTGTAAAGTTAAGAGAACACCTTTCAAGATGATTCATTAGTTTTGTGATGAGTTTTACTCCATCAAATAGACCTATTGAAAGTAAAGCATTTCTAATATGATCCGAGTCAATGACTTTTCTATTTGAGTTATAACTATTTTAGAGGGTTTTTTGTTCAAAATTCTGTGGTCTTCGTTAGATTACTTTGAAAATCAACGTTCATGCCTTGAGTTCCAAGCGAGGGAGAAACAGTAGAGATCTTAATCTTGAAATCTCTGTACTTGAAGTTTGCTGTTTGCTCTTTAGTTCGAATTTTGTACAAATAGAATTCTCAATAGAACTAGTTCCATGAGAAAATATCAAATTTTTTAGAGTCTCCAAGTTTGAGATATTAATATAGAAAATTCTACTTTTGAAAAAAAAAACAAAGCTTTTTGCTGATGTTTATATGTTAAAATATGAGGTATTAGAAACTCTGATACTTTTCTATTGAAGTGGTTCTATCGAGAAGTTTATTTGTTCAAAGTGTGAACTTGAAACTCAAGCATTGATTGTAACAATAGTCTAAGAAAAGTCACAGTATTATGTTATGAGAGATCACTAAAATAGTTATCTATCACGAGACAAGACTCATGAACACCAGTTGTTATAGATGTTTTCTATTTTCAATAGACCTGTCTAACGAAAAAAGATTCATCTCACAGCCAGGCAATCACATTGCAAAATACTCTAATTTCACATACTTTAAATGACGGACCTGTCTTACAACAACGGATAACAAAAAGAAAATCTTTTCACGAGATAACATTTTCGATTGATCAATCGCTTTGTCATCGAAAGCACTTGAATTGTAACTTATTGGTAATGCTGATTTCAAATATGACCACGAGAAATTCTCAAAGATGTCCATATACTGGTTTTCTAGACTAATAAACATTTTCCCAAGATCGTTTTTTATCTATTCAAATTATAGAGCATATCGACTTGCCTTTAAGTCAATAACCTTTTCTGTCTTTTAAAAATGAGTTTTAAGCAAACTAATATTATCTTGAAGATTTTCATACTGAATTGTTCAGATGTATCGGTTGTATAAATTATAATGTATGTATTTTCTGATAAAAAAGAACAATTTAAAGCAGAAAAATTTACTGTTTTCTAAGCAATTCAATAGGTTTTATAATTTGGATAGAGCAAGACGAAAAGCTTATTCGTCTAAAAAACCAGCATATGAAGACTTGAAGAGATTTCTCGCCGTTATATTCGGAATCTGAATGATCGATAAATTACAATTTACTCTCTTTCGTTGTGAAAGAAATTGATCAATTAAAAATGTACCCACATCAGCAAATCTTATGCATGTCAATTCTTGTTAATTACTCAACTTTTTTTTGTTTCTTAAAATTTGCAATCTCATGCACATTCTTTGCATAATATGGACGGCTCTCTAGAAAATTTTACATTAAGTATAAACCAACACTCTTCGTTTTCCAATGAGATTATGACAATCACTGCGTTACTTTAGAACAAAAAAGTAACTTGATATCGATTAAGGTAAGCCGAAGCTTCATTACACGTGTAGAGAAATGAGTGTTACTTCTATGAATCAGATTGTTATTCAGATTTTCTGATTCAGAAGAGCAATTTAAAGATGCAGACGAGAGCAAATAAATATTTCTAGGAACAGTGACACATTGTATGTGATACAATAGCTACAAATTTCGGAAAGACCAACACGAGCTTTGAAAGGTCTCCGCTTTCTCACTTTGATTACTCAGACGAAGATTAGGTGAAAACATGAAATTATACTTTTTAAAGGCTTAGATAGAATAACATATACTTTAAACATAGGGGTTACTGAATGACTTAAAAGTCTTTGTTTCTCTTGCCAGCATCAATTGGAAGATCTTGTCGATAAATGATACTAGTATGAATTAAAAGTGATTTTTACTGTGAAGAAAAAAAAACAATAGGGGACAACACTCCTTAGAAAATTATATATAATCTGAAAATGCATCTTTGACTCTATTGATTTGTAGAAAAAAAGTTTCGCTATTATGTGTTTGAGATATGAGAAAATTCATTCTTCCTTAACATAAAATGTTTTTACGGATAGATGTGCTCAGTATAGTCATCTACAAAATGGTCACGGTCACGGCGTGACTGTGACTGTGACCGTGACTAAAAATCATGGTCACGCAGTTCTCTAGCTCAGTATAATGAGCCTGTACAACTTTTCGCAATTCTAAATTAGGTGAAACTTCTCAAGACTATTCCTTCATCCATAACACATACATCATTAGCGTGAGTCATCACGAGTATTTCATAGCTGAGATATAGATTTTCTAGATAAGACTCTTTTTTTCCAACAACGAAACACTTGTTTTGAAAAGTAATTTCATTTTAAAAATCAACATCGAAAACTGCATCGAACGATGTATAATCTATTAGTTTTCTTTAAAAAGAAATTCCACTTATACATGGAATAAGCATATCTTACAGTGATTTTCCAGTAAAAAAAAACATTTTTTTCAGATTATGTCGATCTTTGAGAGATGACAAAGCAATATTGAGCAAAAAATAAGGTCTTTCTAAGTTAAAAAGTTATATGTCCATCTGGTCTATGCAAAAACGCTCAGCAGTACCTCTCAGTCCATATGTTAGATAAATCACTGCTATAAATGAATATAATTCTAGTTGTAAAGATCAAAATCAATAGAAAGGACTGATCAATATTTGAATCGAATGAAGTTGAGAAAAAAACCTTAGTTAGGAAGACTATTTTCAAATAATAGAAACCTTTCAAACTTTAATTAGTACAAATTAAAACAGAATTAACTTGTTTTTTGCAAATTATTTGTAATATTTTGTTGTTTATTATGATCTTTAAATAATTTTCTATATGAATATTGTAACTTTTGAATAGAATGATTTGAATGAAAAATTTCTTTTTCTAATAATTTTTTTTTAATATTTGATTGTTTAATTATATCGATTAAGTGTTGTTGATTATTTAATATTTGATTTTTTTCTATTTCAAGAATATCAATATGCTGATAAAGTTCTTGACGATTTTTAATGATTTGTATTTGTTGATTTTTTAAGTATTTAAAATTTTCATGTTGTTGTTCAATTTTTTTTTGTAAATATAATATTTGATTTTCATAAGTAGTCCGATTAATAATATTTAATGTTAAATCTTGTTTATATTTTTCTAAATTTGTTTGATAATTAAATATTGTTTTATGATGAATTTCAATTTGTGTTTGAATATGAAAAATTAATTTTAATAAATCATGAATTTCATTGATAAGAAATTTATAATCAACAAGTAATGTTTGAACATCTTTTATATTTATAACTAAATTATTTATTCTTTTCGATGATTGTTCATGAATATGATCATTAGTATGTTGTTGATTATTAATTTGTAATTTTATTTCATTTATATTTTGTGTTGTCTGTAAAATTGATGTACGAAAATGTTCAAGTGATAATTGAATTTCTTTCATTTTGATTAATAAGTCACCATGTTCTTTTTCTAATAAAGTTAAACATTTTGTTTGTTCATCTTTTTCTATTTGAGTAAGATTAAGAAGTTGTTCTAAATCTTCATTAATTAATTTATCAGTTATTGTAATGCCTATTGCTGTTTCCAAGATATGCCATAGACGAGAAGTATTTACTCGAAGAATCTTTAAGTTAAGAAAGTTTCAATAGGTAATGTCATTAGAATAAAGGACATTATGTGTTCGACCTCACAAAAGTGAACGGTTGAGTCAAAAATGAAAGTTTAGGATTTTCGGGCTGACGTTCAATGTCACTATAAGTAAATTACTGTGAAACACGATCTAAAGCGAGTGTTGAAATATACGAATACAAAATATGGGCTCGTCTTGCAGGCCATGACAGTCACCTTACAGAAGAAATCTCTCAGCTGATAAATTTCTGTTTAAGTCGAGGCTAAGTGCATTATGTAGACTCGAATGAAGTATGAATACCCTGAAAAGAATTCCTGCTCTTAGCTTATTCCTGTAGAGATACTGTACTTAAGTATATTACTTTTAGATGAATGCCGAGATCCCTTTCAGTAATACTAGAAAAACTGATTTTTAACTTGCGACTTTGCTTAGAGATATAGGATTTTTTTGTGAAAGGATCAGATCTTGTTGTTGTTTTTTATTCTATACAAGAGTGATTTTTTTTTGAATAAGTTCTTTTAGTATCAACATACGTCAATATATTTGACACTTTCATTTTACTATTAATTATAACGTAATTAGCGATTATGTCTCTAACGATACAAGAAAAACATCAGGATCAACTGTATGACACAAATCGCACCTATGGTGAAGTTTTCAGCAAGATTGGACTCCAAAAAACTTCCTTTTAAACATCCGTTTTCTACAGGTCTTATCAAGTTATAAAACAAAAGTTTTTATCTTATAGTCATCTACAGATTTTGAACTTTTCATATGATTAAAGAATATTTTTTCTTTTCTACATTTGCACTTCGTCACGTCCCTAGAGTTAGTTTATTTTAACTAGCAATTCCTATAAGAAAAAGTCTCTAGTACTGATATTTTCAGAACATCTAGAGTAGCATACAAAAATTTGCTCTAGAAAAATCTCGGGAAAGGGACATGTCGCACCAACTTTTCATTACGATCTCCAGTAGCATATGTTCGTTACGATCTCCGGACGTATGAAAAAGGACAGGGTGTTCGGAATTAAGTGGACGGGAGTTCGGAATGACAAAAATCAATCAAAATTAAAAAAGAACAGGATGTTCGTAATGAAAGTTGTTCAGAAGATCGTAACGAACAACGAATATTGATTTTCAGAGAAAAAAAAAGTGAAATTTGACCGGAGTTAGGCATGAAAATATTGGAAGATCGTAACAATAAAAACAGGATGTTNGGTGGGGGTCCGGGTGGGGGGGTGCAGTGCGAAAGAAAAGATGACCGTCACTCACCCCGACACCCCCCCCCCCCCCCACACACACCCATACCCTTCAAACCATTTGATGAATTCTAGCGATAATGTAAAACTCTCATTGTGCTAGTATTAATGCATTGCCACCTTCAAATAAAAATTTCTCCTTTTGTGAAAGAACCGTTAAATTTTTCTATTGCAGAGAGACAACCTTTTCATCATATTTTTGCATTGGAAACAAGGAAATTTGGTTTTTTATCGTTTTTTGTTTCTTTGCGTGGCAAGAAAGAAAAAAAAGAGCGTCATTAAATTTCTTTTCTACCTTTTATTTGCACAAATTGTCACTATTTGCAACGTGCGCTTTGTAGCAAGCTGTAAACCAACGATTTCATCGAACTTCAAGTAAGAAATTTTCAATTTCACGAGTAGCTGAGTCTATTAAAATTGTCCGTAGCTTCATTGATCATGATTTTAAAATCGTTTCTTAATCCTTATTTCGATGGAAAAAGATCCGCAGCCATCAGTTTATTTCTTAATATTGAATAATCAATTCATACTAAATATTGAAATTCAGTTTTGTACTAAACACTCGTTTGACATACCGTTTAATAAAACCGATTATTCAAGGCAAATATGATTGTTCTATAGTTTATTATAAGTTATTATTGATCTGTTTGCCGTATTGATCTATCTTCATTAATATTCCGAGTCACTTGGAACAGATATGAAAACGTCGATATCTGTGAGATGTTGTTATTGAATAAAATTATTTTTTCTGTTCCATTCATGGTTGATTATCCGTTCGTGTTCGTTTGATTAGCTAACAGTGCGAATTTGTAGTGAGAGTTGAGTGATCCATGCACATCAACATCCTCACCCCATTACGAAAGTATCATGTCAACCGTTAGCAAAAAAAAACAAATTTAATAAAGAATTTAAACAAAATGAAATAGTTAATGAAATGAATTCGAGAAAACGTGAGGATGGTTTGAGTGAAAACAAATTTGCACCTATTCATTTGTTAAGCCGTTTGTTTCACCGTTTTCTCTAAACTATCTTCAGATAAAGTTAATCGATGTGATATCAACTACTGTTTGTCTGCCCGTTTCACAAGATCTTATATTTAGTTTTTGTCGAAGAAAAGAGCAAGTATGATGAATGCTGACCGAACTGTTTGACGTTAGTCAGTTTTATTACGAATCATCAAAATCAAAATGATTTAGATATCGAAAATTCATCGGTTAAGTTATTAAGAATCAAATTAATTTCACTTCTCAAAGTATGAGAATGAAAAACTTCTGTTGGCGTTGATAGTCTACAGGAGATGTATGCGTTTTTTATGATCTAAGTAAAAAGATACCTGGAAAGATAGAAAGCGTAAATTTTCAGTCAAAGCTTTCGAACTTACCCTTCCCTCCTCATTATAGGCCATAACAATAATCATACTCCTATTACAGACTTTAGCAGTTGAACAAAATAGACGTTACACCATCTAAAGTTTTTTTTGCAGATTAGATCAAATTAGAAATTTTAAAAATAATGAAGATTACGAAGAGATTTGATTGAAAGAGGCTGCGCTAACAACCTGTACCATTACGATCGAATTGATTTAAAGCTTTGCAATTTTAATACCTAAAGCCATATACCTAATTCAACTTTTTTGTTTCCAAAGAAATGTAGACGAAAGTTTTTAGCTAATCTTTTCATAACGAATCAATATGAATCTGGATGTATCTTTCAATTCATTCTCATACAAATTCTCAAACGAAATCGTAATTTACGAAACTCGGATGCGTATACATTCTATTAAAACATGTCAGTTTTTTTGTTTCGTTCAGCACAAAACAAATCAATTTAACTTTAATCGAATTAAAGTCGATATTACTTAAAAGAAATACATCGATTCGCACTTCTACCAATTTTTCTATTGATAAATTATCCTTCTATGTTAAATATTCAATTAAAATGAGTTTGAAGTTAGCTCTTTTTCTACTTTTGCCGATTAATCATTAAAATGAGAATCACTTTTTACTAAATATTTATAAATTTCGATAGAAATTCGAAATCTTCGATTATCCGGTATATATATTTCTGTTGTCTTTTATTTGTGTGCTATTAAAAATCATTTCAAGACAATAGATAAGCATATAGAATAAAACAAATCTACAAGGATATTATTGATTATAGAGTATTTCTTAAAGAATAAAAAAAGTTGAATTAGGTATATGGCTTTAGGTATTAAAATTGCAAAGCTTTAAATCAATTCGATCGTAATGGTACAGGTTGTTAGCGNGCGATATTTTTTTTTCTGTTCTGTGCGTGTTTTTTGCATTGAATTTTGTCAAAAAATTGTTGGCTTACGGTCAGAGGTACTCTCTCGAGATCTTGACGGCGACGGGGGTAACTGATCACGCTGAATCCGAATATGCCATTTTTATTCACCGAACACCTACCCTTCAAAACCACTCCGGGGTGATATGGATGTTTATGCATATGATCATTGATATAAATAAAGAATAGAATGAATGAACTTATTTAAACAAAGGTTATACATAAATATATCATCCAATGAAATTATCGATGAATAATATTTCGTCGTTTTTTTTATGCACAAATCTTCATATGTAGATCATTGTTTCATTATGTTCATTTATGTGAACGTCAAAAAAAAAATGTCATGTACAGAAAAGAGAAATGGACAGAAGAAAATATGTTGAAAAATTAATAATTGAATAAAGATATCCAAAACTAATGGCAACGACATTTTAATACAACATATTAAAGTTGATAAAAGTTTGTTTGTGCATAGGATGATAGGAAAAAAAACAGACTCTTTCTTTCTATGATATTTTATCATAGTTCAAGTTATATCATAAAATTAGAATTTCAATAAGATCTGTTTCATTCTCATGAGTCACGGTTACACAATACTTATTTCGAAAAAAAAAAGAGTAGAGAAGTTTTTTCTATTGAATAAGATTTGTTAAAAGCAAGATAGATGTATTGAATCGTGTATTACAAGATCTCCTGATCTGTTTTTTTTTCTAAACTTTTCAATGAACCCTTTCAAGAACAAATTTGTCAAGAAAGTTGTCTACAGTGAATTTTTATTATCAACTGTAGATTCAAATTATCAATTGAAGATCTACAAAATGTGGATTTTCTCATAGAAAAGAACTTTTTTTTGAGATTTAGACAATCAAATAAAAATACTTAAGAAATAAATATTAGAAAAAACTGATAATATATGTTTTGATACGTTTTCATCTCCTCTTTTGAACGATGAAAACTGCGGTTCTCTATCGTATTTTTATGAAAAGTTATTTAAAAAATACTCATAAACATTCATGTAATTATGATTCATGAAAATACAACAGAGCTTATTGAAACTGTATTCTTATGATATCAGTTGAACTATAATCAAATAGTATAGAATGAAAGCGCTTTTTTTTTCAAACATACTATGTAAAAGAAAACTTTTATCAAGCTTAATATGTGCTACTAAAATGTTGTTGCCATTACTTTTTAATACCTCTATGTAGACTTCTCGTTTCATTAAATAGTGAGTCCAACGATAAATATGTCTATGATATGTATACAGTATCTAGCAGATTATACTGAGTTGAGTAAAAATTCGTTTTCAGCTTCAAAAAAAAAAAACTTTCATTTTAACTTAAATGAATTTTTCTAATAATAGTTCACAAAAAAAATCTATCCTATAGTCAAGAATATGTAAACGATTATTTGACTAATCTGATAAAAGTTCAACAATGGAAGTAACGAAAAGCATATCAAAATTGATCTTGATTAGTTTTTTGTTTTATTCTTTATTTTTGATTGATTCTATAATAATTATTCAATATGTTATCAATATTGTCGTCTATTTTATAAGATATTAAACTGAGCGACATCATCAATAAATATTTGAACTATAATTTAATTGGCCGTTCAATGTTCATTCATTGACAATGATCGACAATACAGTAATGAACTATATATAGCTTGTTGAGAGAATGATATTGTGATATATCATTATAACAACTAAAGAGATGAGATCAACAAATTTTACATCATTATCTGATATTGTATTACTTGAAATATTTGAATATTTATCGTGTGAAGATGTTTTATATGCATTTGGTGATTTACATAACTTTCGTTTTATTAATTTACTTGAAGAACATGGAGCATTTGAACATATATGTTTATCATCAGAAATGTCACGTCGTCAATATAAAATACTTTCAAATGGAATTTGGCGTTATGAATTAGTTCGTTCATTTGTATGTAAAGAAATGTTTTGTGAATTTATTATTGAATTTACACCTTGTCGAATATTTCCTTTGTTGAGTGAATTACGAATACTTTGTATACGTTGTATGACAGATCATGTCGAACAGTTTGTTATTGAGCATTCATCTACACTTACACATCTTTTTATAACAAGAAGTGAACAATCATATATACCAGAAAATTATGAAAAATTTTTCTATACAGTTTTACCTCATCTTAATCAATTAAAATTACTTGATACAGATTCAAGAAGTTATGTATCGGTAGGATTTAATTTAAATTTATAAATAAAAAATATAGAATTATTTATTTATAGATTCAATGGAATCAATTAACAGATTGTTTACAATCATTAGAACATTTATTAACATATGTTGAAAATATGTCTGATGTATATACAATGCCTATAGATGGACTTTTTCCTCATCTACGATCACTTCGGATTTATGTAAAATATGCGATTATAAAAACAGTTTCAATTGAAGATTTAAATATAAAAAGATTTCATATGGCTAAATTAGAAAAATTTGATTTATATATAAAAGGACGAAGAAATACAAAGGAAGATGAAAAACAGGTTGAATGGACAGATTTGGAGAGATTAATTTGTAATTCAGTTATGCCATCTCTTAGAGAATTTTCATTCATTTATACTTTATTAACAATTGTTGATATTCAACATTTATTTCAATCATCTATTTTTCAAAATCATGAGAGACATATTCGTGTTCAATTTGCACTTCATATTAATGCAAAAAACATCAATAAATCTATCTGATATAACTAATATATGTCATGATAAAATTCTTTTTCAATATGTATGTATTTTATTATTTGAACTAGAAATATAAATGTTCAATTTAATATATTTGTTATAGAATAATGAAGATGAGTCAAAATTGCCATGTATGTGGTTTACATCATCATGGCCAAGTTGGACAATATTTTCAATGAATCGTTATGATATTGTACCACATAATGGTGTTCGTCATTTATTAATAAAAGATCCAAATATATCATTACACTCAATTAGTAAATTATTGAATCATGCTAAGACATTAATATGTCAATATCCAGGATCATTTTCTATAAATGATTCATTACTATCATCAATACAATTAATTAATTTACATCATATAACAATAAATGATTATGTTCCTGGATTAGAGTATTTACTTGATGGTATTATGGTTCCTCGTTTGAAATCTATAAATGGATATATTGTGTCGTTATTCATTTCTCTCATACGTCGAACAAATCAAATGAAAACTCTTGATACAGTTAATCATTTAGTGATAACAGATCAATCAATTCGTGATGAAAGATGTTTTTCATTTAAACAATGGTATATTGTACTTGATGCTTTTCCTCGTTTAAAAACATTTTTAATTCAATTTCATAATCATATATGTCCACCAATAACTATGGCAGATTTATTTATTAATTATATAAAACGAACAAGTCAAACATCACTCAATTTTTTTTCTTGTTGTATTGATCATTGTTATAATATGGAAAGCAAAGAACATTTTATTACATATTTAGAAGATAAAATAGAAATTTTATGTTCACCTCTTCAACTTGCATCTATTAGTCCAACAAGACTTGATGCATGGATGTAATTTTCTTATTAATACATTTATATAGAATTTATATCTTTACGAAATATCTTCAAAGAACTTTTCAGACTAGAATATGAATTCTAAATAATTGTTTGTTTGTTGGATTCCTAAGAAAAAAAAATGATGTAAAAGTTAGGATATAAATTTATATATTTAATTGAAATAAAACTCATTATCATGCAATCTATAGAACTAAATATATTGTCAATAGTTTTGGTTTCCATTTGTTATCAATCGAATAATGTTAGGATCAGAGTTGGAACCGGTCCGGCAATCCGGCTCCGGTCCGGCCGGATCGGACCGGACGAGAAATCAAATCCGGCCGGACAAAACCGGATTTTTGCCAGTTCATCATTGCAAAATGGTTGCTCGTATTTGATGATTTTTCACCGAAGAACGAGTTTTTTCTACATTTTCAACTAAAAAGATGAATAGAATAGTACTCAAAATGAGAAATAGACAGAAAGAAGCAAGAGAACTGCTTCTCTCTTATGGAACGATTGCAGTTGCTAGAGCAATAGCCGATCGGTGCAATGATTGTGGTAATTAGGAAAAGACGGAAAGTTTAAGACATGAAAGCGAGAAATCCTACGTCAACTATTCCGGCTGCCAGATCTATAAGAAAGTGGTCGAAAACCATCAGAATCGACAGGTTTCATTATGTTCCGATGTATTTTGCAATTGGATTGCTAGTTGAAGTCGCTGGAGTTCTTCGACAACAACTGCCAGTTGTGCTCGAAACACAAAGAGACCGACTCAAAAACTTCAGTCAGATTCCATTGGCAAGAACACCGAATCATGACAAAAGCTTCACATGGGAAACTATAACCTAGAGGTATAGGTTCTATTCTATTTGCTACTTCTCTCTGACGACCATCATATCCACCACAAAATCCAGCAGTTCTTCTGCCTGGATCTTCTTGAACGATTCTTAGTAGAAAAAGAGAAAAATATGCGTCATTCACGATAGTTATTACTGAGCTTGATTTTTTGTTTTTAAATAACGATGAGTAGTCGATATTCGATATAATCGACTCATCTCTATTCATTTTCAGCTTGAAAAGTCGATATCTTGGAATCTGATACAAGGAAGCTGTTTTTTTAATATATATTCAGACGGTCTACTTCAAATATCCACATGTAAATATCGAAAATTTTACTTCACTTACTATTTTTCGTAAACAAGCTTCTTTTAAGTTCCAATTTTTGCCGGATTTTTGCCAGTTTGACTTCGAAAATGAACTGGCCGGATTCCGACCGGACCGGACCGGACAGGTTTTTCTACTGGCCGGACCGGACCGGATACAAAAAACCTGTCCGGTTCCAACTCTGGTTAGGATAGTCAAAATCTTTTATTTTTGTTTTATTATGTTATTTTGTCAAATAGTAATCAATGCTCAAAATATCTGTACAACATGATTTTACGACTTTATTAAATCGTTGACTTCATCATATTGTCTGTTACATATATTGAATTAAGTCTATCTACAAATAGATATTTTTTACTTTTATCATTCTATCTATCTATAATATTTTTAATTTATCACCTAAACAAAAATTCGTTTTTGTTTTGTTTCGATAATAATAGTAATTGATTATTGATTATGCTATATTCGTCTTTAAAATATTGCCCATAAAACATTTTTTGGTACATCAATGATTACTTTTTCTTTTTAATATCCAATCCTTTGAAATACACTTTATCTAACAAGTAGAACTCTTAGTGTAATGGCTCTTGAGTCAATGTTTTCGACTTATACAATATTATGCACAACAATATATTCGTTAGATTTTATATTAATCAATAATATTTTAATATTCTATATATGAATTTAACAAGACTAAATTTCTACATTAGAATATGTGCTTTTATTTAGTTAACAATCTTAATCAAGTGAACTATGGAATATTTAATCAATATTAATCAGGCTTAATCTGTCTTTCTTTAAGTGTGTATACTGGCTATGTCCCAATGCTATTCAATTTCCTTTATAATAATAAGAAATAACGCTAAATTAAAACTGTTTCTACCATTCTAAACAATGATAATTAGAATCATGTAACAGTTATATATGATACAGTTCAATTTAAACAAATGATTTGTTTAAATAGTTAAATTGATTCTAGGTCAATTAGTATAATATATGGTTATCAATGTGCATCAACTGGTATTACAGCAGTGATTTCACTGTTTCATTGTTAAGAGTTTAATCATAGTTTTTCAACTCATATGATCCATTAAAAAGACGACTATAATGTGTTGACTATAGAATGCGATATATGTAAATTTGTAGAGTAAGACTTCCTCTATTCAAGACTGCATATATTATTAAATTATATTGCGCATCATGAGAAAAAATCTATCTATATATACAATATCCAATGTTTGATAACAGGTCAATGGTCAAAAGTTAAAGGTCAACGTTATTGAACAGAGTCTATGGAGATTACGCTAGTTGTGGTTATTTTTATGTGTGTGAGGTTGTGCTGGTAGTTATATAGGAGGGTATCAAATAACTCACACGTCACGTTCAATCAAGTCCTATTGAACCTGTGTCTACTACTCCTCAATTTTGATTGTTGGCTATCGATCCTAGTAATAGATACACATTCACGATGTGTACAGATTTTCTTTCATGATATGCAACAAAATTTTATAATATATATCTCAGTGAGCAAAAGAAATCATTCTATAGTTAAATATTTCATTGAAACTTCTAGTCGCCTTTATTATGATGTATTGAATATCGTTTAAAAAATTCAGTTTTGCTTCGTTTCTTAAATTATCCTTATATTATTATTAAATTAATTCAAAGAATATTATAAGACACTAAAATTGATTTTTGTAAATAAATCAAACGAATATTTTTTTGAAAACAAAAAAAAAAAGAAATAAATTAAATCTTCACATAGTGAAAAATAAAAGTATTTCTTTATCCTTATATAAGAAATAAATATTTTATTAAATTTTAAACAGAATGAAGATGAAAAAAAAACATTTCTATACAGTAATACAACTAATCGACATATAGGTCTAGTCAGACACGCATATATTCGTCTATTCTTCTCAGTCCGCATTTATAACTATAGTTAAATGTACTGAAATATTTATTGTTTGTACTTATTATTTTTCTTTTCTCTCTCTCTCTCGTCCATATATAAAAAGCACATTTTTTCTTATAATGATTGATAACATCCATAATGTCTAGTGAACAACACGTTCCAACATTTTCACCACCACCACTAAATAAAAGTGAACGTATACCAAAGGTAAGAATTCGTCAATATAATAATGGTCAATATGCTGTTATTGAAAATATACAAGAAACTGATCAAGTCATTCCGACTAAAAAAGGTATAAAGAAAATAACAAACTTTATTAGAAAACTATTTTCAAAATCAATTAATGATATCATTATTCTTTTTATAGATAAATCTAAATGATTTATTTAATCAATTATATTCTATCTATTAATTAATATATTAGGTTGTCAAATATTTATTATTATATTTACATATAAATATATTCATATTATGGTGTTGGATTCTGATTTAATATAAATAGAATCAATGTAGTCTCAGTAATTTTCATTTAGTTTTTTTTCTTTCTTGAAAAATATTGATCTTTTTTTATTTTAGATTATTGGTGAAAGTGATATTAACGATTAGAAAAATAATATATACTAACATTAACGGGTGGATCGAAAGTTTTCGCACAAAATGTTTGTTTATATCTGACCCACTTGAAAATATTTCAGACGAGTCGAAAACTATGGATTAAAACCAGAATTTTGTGCTATTTCTGAATATGAGCTTGGAAATTTTTTGTCAGTTTTTGTTCGAGAGTAGTGAGGGAATCTTTGAAAGGCCTGAAAAATTTGTTTGGACGGGAAATTTTTTCACACTTTTTNAATTATAAGATCAAAATAATAAGTTAGTTATCGAAAAAACCTAATATTAATCTTTTGAATTTCATTTAGATATCTTTTTAAAAATTTATTAATATTCGCCGATTTTCCTATTCAAATAAATGTGTCAACAATATCAAAGTCAAGCTTTGAATATCATCATGCCTTACAGACATCGAATCCATTTACTGTTGATGTTATTGTTTCACCACCACGTATCATTGCAAAATTCATTCGTCTTGAAAAATTAATTTTTGGAAATATCGACGCAAAATATCTAAATTACATTCATTGCTTAATATTGCTAATGATTTACAAGACTCGAATAAAATTTTTGAAAATATATTTCGTTTACCTCAATTAAAATATTGTGAAATTAAATATCGAACAAAAGATTCGCTACTATTGAATGTTTCTTTTGATAAATTTGAACCTAGTTCTATTGAATAACTTGTTATTGCTTGTAGTTTTCTAATGAGTGCATTTAATGATTTATAATACTGTCTTCCAAAACTTCGTCATTTATCAATTGATTGTCTTGTTGGATATACTTATAAAATATTAAAAGATTTTAAATATATTTCTCTCAACATCTATAAGTTTTTGTTCAATGGATTTGCACTATTAGTAAAGCATTACTTTAGTTCTATTGAAGTTTTTCATATTAAAACAAGAAATAATGATGAATCATATTTAGATGCAAAACGATGCGAACAATTAGTCTTATCTTATATGCCAAATTTACTTGTCTTTGATTTTAATCATCATCACCATGTATCCCTTGATTTGGATTGACAAGGAATGGTTTTTTACACATCAACGTAATAGGCAAGGAACAAAAATTGAAAGTGGAATATTTTGTTCAACAAATCTATATCGGTAAAAATAGATTTATTTGATTTTAAATTAGCTATCTCTTTCCTTTTGTTTTTGTCTAGAAGAAAATATTACGCATTTTATTGGAAATCAGATGTACATATTTGTCCACATCTTCAAGAAAACGATTTAAGTTTAGTTAAACATGTTCCCATTCGTAATGAACGAATGACAGATAATTTTGTCAATTATTTTCCAAATGCTACTGAATTGACTCTTGCATATTATTCCTTTAGAACAGCTTACTAATTTAGTTATTGATGTTAAACATTTTCCTCGTGAAGAATTTATTATGTTTTACACCTAATTTACAATCATTGAAATTCATGTATTCATCTCTCAATGAAACTTCTTCAAAATTAATTGAACAAAGTGACATTTTTCAATATGTATCAGCCACAAATAAGATAAAAAATGTAGAACTTTTTAATTGATTTCCTCAGTTGGAATACGTTAAAATTCCAGTTGATAAAAAAGAAATTGAACAAATTACACGATTTTTATTTTCGAAAACTAACAATAAACCGTGTCATTTGTTTTTCTTTTGTTTATCGACTATCTAAAAGATTTTTGTGAGAAATGAATATGTTACTTAAATCCGAGAATTTACTTGAGGATTATTTTATTAAATTGTTTAATCATAATCTATATTTATGGTGGTAGGCTTTTTGCTGTATGTAGTTAATGACTCTTTTTTAAATAAACAAGTGGCTGAATTATTAATATAACTATCGTATATGTATAGAAAAATAATATCAAAATATGTACCCATTCGAGAGTCGATAGAACCGAAATAGGCTTATGTTTAATGATTAAAGAAATCTTGGTTGAAAGAACATTCTCAAACTGAAATTATTCATTTCCTATTTCTGTCAGAAAGCTCATCACTTCTCGTGAACGTTCGATATCTGCCTATTTTAGAAATAACCAGGAGGATGTGGGTGTGCTTATGCAAGAATGATTACACCCACACCCCCCACACCTAGCATGAAAATGTGCCACTAAAGATTAAGACAGAGATTTATAAAAGTTTCAGGTTTTTTATCTATCGTTATCGACCTAAGTTATAAACAGAATGGACTCTATAGTTTAACCATAGATATTTATAATTATGATTTGTCTCAAAATGAACTGATAGTTAAAAGAAAAATACTATATGTAATCTTCATGATTTAAGCTTAAACTTGTAATATTGAATATCAGGATGATTCTATTTTACAGCATTCTCACATTTACATCTATACTCCAGCAATGTTGTTATAAAAGTTATTTTTGATCACTCGACAAAACATTTCATCAATATTTTTTCAATTTTCATTAATTCTATTTATCATTTTCTAATTAATCGAGTCATGAACTAACTTCATGTTCATGGAATAAAAAGAAAGCAAGATAATTTACATCGATATAAGTAGAATCACACGAAACTGTAAATCTTTAGATTTCTTTATTGTCAAAATTACAATCCGAAATTTTTATTTAGAGAAATTTTATTCGTTTGTGTTCACCATATTTTTCAGGTGATTGAATTCTTTTCTTTCCAAGCCAAACAGTAACCATTCCGTAACTTTCTCGGCATGTTGTGTTCATGATGTTTTCAGCAAACCAGTTGATGATTTTTTCGGCAAATTGTCTACCTTCGATGTTAAAATCAATTACGGACAAGTTTTCACATCGTTCGAGAATCATATTTATTTGATCCAACTCATCTATCGAAATTTGTAAATGTTTGACATGATACGGAAGAATTGAATGAATATCTTCTATCGTTAGATATGATTTGTGTCTGTAGAAGCTGCTATGAAAAAACAGTGAATAGAGATTGTGTGCTTGTTCTAGCAAAAATCTGATGTCCATCAATAAATTTTGATTGTATTCGTTTCGATAACTGCTAGTCAGTATTACATGAACTATTCGTGAGATATCAATGAAAACGAACAGTGATTGTAACGAAATGAAAGGCCAATCGTCACAGAATTCAAGATTAATTTCAGTTACTTTACGAAACAATGGATGATGTGCCGTTGCACGCTGAAAATATTCAAATATAAATCTACTCATAATCTGTTTTTTTTTTATTCAGTATGACATTTCTAGTCTGCGCGGAAATTTGATGAACATACCTTTGCTTGAATATCATCAGCTGTTGATTTGTTCAAAATCAAACTCAATGATTTGGTGTTATCCATTCTTAATAATTCATTTTTCATTATCGTGGGGTAAGTCGACAATAATGTTTTTGTACATGTTGGCGTGTACGATACAGATGATTTGCATATTGGTATTGAATAGAGAGAAATAATATATGGCTTTAGTTTAGTATGTTCATATTCACAAACAACAAACCATTTTTTTATGTTCAATCCAAAATAATGTTTGAAATGAAGCGATAATGAATTCGAGATCTGTTGGAGTTTGGTGAGTTGAGTTCCATTCGTTCAAATAGAATTCAAATTTATCCAGTTCAGGTAAATTTATTGCAATGAATTGTTCCCACCGTTTACCATCCAACATATGTCCTGCACCAATCAATTTCAAATGCACAAGTGAGGATGCCAATGAGAGAAAAGATTCAAGTTCATCAATGGTTACAGAAAGAGGGTGTGGGGTGTGGGTATGGGTATGGGTGTGTGGGTGTGTTAAAGAAGACTAAAACAACAGCTACATCCACCCACACCCTACCCACACCCCACATCCACACCCTCACACTCACACCCCACACTCACCCACGTCCACACTCCCCACCCATACCAACACGTCCACCCACACCCATCGCTGGTAGCCTCAACAGTTGAAACCATGGTTACCATCATGTTCACTGCGATTTATAAAACCGTAACTAACTGCAATATTTCATACTGCGATGAATTTAAAAAGCCGCGGTTGACCTCGGTTTTACTCTCGATTTTTTCCGTGGGATACCGCGGTATGTCAGACCGTGACTAATTGCAATAACTGATATCGCATAGGCATATGACAACATAAAATCCAACCCAAAACATTTGGGTTGTGGGGATTTGGTTTTTGAGTCAGTTTTGGTTTTGAGGGATTTGGAATTTGAGTAGTTTTGGGTTTTGATCCTCATTTTGAATTATGATATGATTATTGCAATAAAGTATTCCAATTTCTTTCCCAAGCTCCGCATAATATAATTAGTTGTCTTTTTCAGTCAACCAGATTTGAGGAGGAGTTTTTTCTTTTATAATCACAGTACATCATAGTGTTGTCTTTACTAACTAGAGGGTTTATCAATGCGATCTGTCCTTTCGAAAATACAGCCTCACGTCCTGACGTTGACTATAAGGGAGAACAGGCTTGCTGTAATCTGATTGGTTGTTGCTTCCAGTTAATCAGATTACAGCAAGCCTGTTCTCCCTTATAGTCAAGGTCAGGACATGAGGCTGTATTTTCGAAAGGACAGATCGCATTGATAAACCCTGTAGTTAGTAAAGACAACACTATGATGCACTGTGATTATAAAAGAAAAAACTCCTTCTCAAATCTGATTGGCTGGAGAAGACAACCAATTATATTATGCGGAGCTTGGCACGGAAATTGGAACACTTTATGGCAATAATCAATATTATAATTCAAAAGAAGGACCAAAACCCAAATTCGCGAAACTCAAATGTTTTGAGTGGGATTTGATATTGTAACATGCCTAATACCGCGATCACCATCAGATTTACCGTGATATGTGAAACCGCAATCAACTTCAATATCTGACACCGCGGCTACGATCAAGTTTACCGCGATGGCTGGAACCACGACTAATCGCGATTAGCATTTAGCTCACCACGGCATGTGAAATCGTCACAAATCGCAATACCTATTACCGCGGTTACCTTCAAATTCACCACGCTGTATGCAACCGCGACTACATCCGATATTTGATATCGCGGTTTAGCCCTAGGAAATCGCGGTTAGTTTTCGACACGGTGAGAAAAAAACGTGATTAACCACGGCTTTACTCGAAAAGTTTTTTGGTGGGTAGTTCTTTATATATGATCAAACCGATTTAAAATTGCTATCAAACGACTCACCGTAAAATTCTGCTTCGAATCATACATGCATTTTAAAAATCCAAAAATGGGCAAATTTTTGATCTTATGCGCCTCCATTCTTTAACGAATTAATATGAAATGGAATAATAAAGAAAAACGGTACATCAAAAAGAATGAGTCTGTCAATGATTCAATCTCTTCTCTTACATTTTCATCGTTTGATGTGCATTCTTTTTTTAAAATCCTTGCAATAGAGTTCAACAGCTGAAATAATTAAAATGCGGCTACCCAACGGACAAATGAAAAGAGAAGCGGAGGTGGAGTGGCCGCTTAGTCACCGTGTTCAAAACGTTTTCGACGACACGGTAGCCTTCGCTCCATCTCCGTGTGGGCAGTGCACATATCTGCATCATTCGATAGTACCTTAGAAAAAAAATCATATAATCTTTTGTTTTTCTTTCTCTTGTGGGATCGTTTACAGTGTATTATTGTGATTGATTCTTTCTCGAATAAAATCAATAAAAATCATCGTCATTTTAACATCATATACAAATATTGATCTTAATGGAATGAATTAGATAAGAAAGAGTCAATATTAATAATAAAATCATAGAATGAGAACAAAAACATCTGGAAAATAAATATTTATTGAAACCTATAAAATATAAAATCACTCGAAAAATAAATGCTCTTTATTGAGAAAAAAAAATCAGTACTACAATGAAATATTCAATCATTATCCTGGTCTTCTGCTCAATTGGCTATGTTAGCTCATCTTTATCCGTTCAAGAAGTTATCGATAAAATGCTATCAAATGTAAAGAATAAAGAAGAAATCATTGAAAATAATCCGGCATTAGTTCACCATATTTATGGATATTTTCAACAAGCATATCCTCGTGAAGATTCAAGTAGAATGATCGATTTTAAAAAATCCCAACGTATAGAAATATTTAAATCAAATTTAAGATATGTTATTCGACATAATGAAGATCCTTCAACAACATTTAAATTAAAAGTAAATAAATTTAGTGATTGGACTGATGAAGAAAGAGATAGAATACGTTCAAAACTATATATTGAATCACTTAATCATGATCAACCAATAGAATCACGTGGTGACACAGTTCCACCAGAATATGATTGGACTAATCAAACACGTGTTCCAGGTGCGGTCACGCCCATTAAAAATCAACATCATTGTGGTTCATGTTATGCTTTTGGTTTTGTTGGAGCTTTAGAAAAA